CACCTTGGATTTGCTTATTTTTTTTCCTCTTAGTTTCCTGCCAGGGATGCTTATACAAATCCAGGGCTCTGTATCTCCCAACCTTCTCAGACTCTTGGCATTTTTGACTGGGTCTTAAATTTAGGAAGAAGAATGTGAGAAAATGCTACCAGATATGCTTGGGTTTATCTCTAGCTAATACACAAAGAAGTGTGTGATGATGCGGCCCTTAACTGACTCGGAGGGTGGCTCTTCACCCAGATGGATGAAGTGCAGGGACTGCAGGTTCCCATCAGTCAGTCCCAGATCCGCTTTGGAGGCTGAGGGCCGGCAGTTTCCTTTCCTTTGAACAGTTCCTGATTCCCCAAGGCTCGAAACACACTTATTTGTCAGCAATCAGAACACCTTCTGTTTTTGTTCCTACTGGGAAAGGGGAAGGTGAAGGGTGAGGAGAGAGGGAGCTGCAGCGTGGTTACTCTCTCATGAAGGCTGCAGGAGGTGGTGAGACACTTTGAAGCCAAAGCCATCCTCCCAGGCCCTGCTCACCTTACCACCTCCACCTGGCTTGTCAGGGGCTGAAGGCAGATTGTGGCTTAGTGCCAATGCAACAAAACATGCCCTGGGACCACTGGGTCAAGAGGGTTGGGGAAAGCACTGCAGGCTAACATGGCCAGGGGAGGCTTCAGAGGGGAAAGGAAAGGCCCAAAGTCGCAGAAGCGGCAGTGAGTAGGGGCTGTCTTGGTTCGGTGATTGGGAGGCTATAACACGGTAAGCTCAGTCACTCTTTAGTCAGGGTACGGGGATGTGGAGATACACTTAGGCCTAAAATCTCCTGCACTGGCGGCCTCATGAAGATTAAATTTATCCTCTTCCACATGGCTGAAATCCTGATCAACCTGACAGACCAATCCCAGCCCTACTCTGAATTCTGGGCAGGAAGAGAGGAATGGAGATCTCAGTGTGGTCAGCAAGCACATCATGAAAGTCCTTCATGATGTGCTGGAGGGAAAGTACGTCAAGAACTATTGGGGACCTGGAAGCTTCTGAATAGCCAGTGTTTTGCTGGAGAAACTGCATTTAAGCCAGACACCAAGTGCTAGGACACACTAAGCAAGGACCTTTTCCTATGGGTCCCATGGCATAAACTTTTGACGTTTTAATATGGTGGCACTTTGTGTAATTTATTTCATATTTTTAAAAACTGATCCCTGCAAAACTCTCCTTGCAAAAAAATGACTACACCAGAAAAATAAGAGCAAAGGAGAGTAAGTACTCAAGGATTCCCATGTGCCTGAGATACAGAGCCCTGGATTTGTATAAGCATCCCTGGCAGGAAACTAAGAGGAAAAAAAATAAGCAAATCCAAGGTGAGAAGTGATCCAGGAGGGATTGAGCAGTCTCTAAGTCCAAGTCTATGGGGAAAAAAAGGCTGTTCGGAAGTAGTATTGCTGAAAGCGACTCTGTTAACAGACGTCTTCCATGTACCAGCTGCTCTTACACATGGCCTCACTTAGCCTCTGCGCCACCCTTAAAGGAGTAGGGATTATTATCCCATTTTACAGGTAAAGAAGTTGAAGTCTCAGGAGGCCAGATAACTTGTCATTCCGTTGTAAGCATTCAGAATTCATCCCTCTAGTCCACCAGCTGGAAACTCATTTAAAAGAAGTTGAAGTCTCAGGAGGCCAGATAACTTGTCATTCCATTGTAAGCATTCAGAATTCATCCCTCTAGTCCACCAGCTGGAAACTCATTTAGAAGAGTTTAGCTCTCTCCTCCAGGTCCCCGTTTCCCTATTTACTCATCAAATGCCTGTCCATCTCCCCTGCCCCATGTCCACACCTCTGCACACATGTACCTTGTTAGGGCTGAGGAGTTGTTTACCTTGCCCCTTCTGGCAGAGGTGGGGCAGGAAGAGGCCCCAAATCCAAACTGGCAGGAAGACCTGGAAGGATGCCGGGGACTCTCTAAGAGACCTCCCAGTGGTACTCTTGTGTGTGGCTCAAAGCTAGAATGGTGGCAGGAAGCAGGAGCACAGCCCCACCTCTGGTGAAAAGATGACATTCTTCAGAACCCTACAGACACACCCATGCACTCCCCTCTCCTCAGTCATCCAGGTCCACTCACAGCCGTCTCCACTGACCAGGAGTCTGGCTATTGTCAGGACTGCAGTGGCAGGCAGAGAAGGAGACCCAGCTCTTATCAGCTGGTGGACCAGACTGGGGCAGTGGGCGTTGGCTCCCTTGGCCTCTGCCAGCCTCCACTCAGTCATGGCCTCCTCAAGGCCTGTTTCCCCTCGGCTACCACACAAACAGACCATATGGCGGTGAAGAGCTTGAGCTCCAGAATCAGACACAGCTGGTCAGATCCCTGGCCTGTCACTTCAAGCCCTATGGCTTGGGCAGCCCAGCCCCATGAACTCAGTCCTTTCACTTGTGCAGAAGAGACTGTCAACCCCTGGGGCTGTTAGAAAGGTAGGTGAGAACCACGTGTGTGAACCAACCCAGTGCCTGGCACCCAGGAAGCCTGTGGAGGTGTGCGTTTCCGTGAAGTTCCACCCTGAGTTGCGACATCGAGCTGAGCCGTGCTCTGCTACTGTTGTGTGCCTCAGCACTTCACACTGGGTAGCCTAGCTGTCTTCTCCAAGGAGTGTCACTCCAGATACCTAGACGACATTAAGTGAGCTGAACCTCACCCATAGACGCTGTCCCCGACCCACAGAGCGTCTTTGCTAGTAAGTGCTTCAGAACTGACACTTCATGGTCAGAGTGCTTGGGGGAGCTGTGGTGGATTTGTCACCAACCAGGTGATTTGATGTCTGGTATCTCAGGAACAACACAAGAACAGGATATGATGATAATGGTTTTAGGTTAGAAAGCCACCTTGCACTTGGGTTAACCTTCAGATGAGGACAGGGTTGGCAGGTACCCTGTGGCTTGTCAGCTGCATGAAACCTTTGTACCCAACAGTTGAGAGCAGACAAAGAGGCTATTTACTGGAGTTGTACCCCTAGTTCTGCTGAGTGAGCTTTGGCAGGTGTTAATCTCTCTGAACTAATTTTCTCATCTGAAAAATGGGGATGATAGTGCCAGGCCTCCTGCAAAACAGCATTAGTTACTGTGGGCCCAGAGGGGCCGGGCACCTCGAAGGGGATGATGTCTTGAGAGCCCCCTGGGAGAGAAGGCCAGAGTCACTACGCTGACCACTCCTGGGCCCCGTGCTCTTTGTTTCCATTCTACCAGTATCTTCAGGCTTTTCTCTCCTGTGGCACCATTTCCTTAGTCCAGAACACTCACTGAGAACACCTGGGCTTCTTACTCCCAGGTAGCCCCAGGAATCAGTGTCACCCTGCATTCACCACGCCCCAGACGGTATGGCTATCTTTGGCCATCCATGGCCTCTGCTGTATCTCTAACTGGGCTGGAGCTTTTAAGCACCACGTGCCCCCCAGGTGGTGGGAAATTGGTGGGATAGGAGCACATTCTTTACCCTCAGACCCTGAGACCACACCCAAAGCAGTCTGGATTCAAGCAGGGTCCACACCCAGCATGACCCCTTCCCCCAGTCTTCCCTGCACCCCAGGCCTTTGACACCATGTGCTGGTGTGTGTGAGCAGAGAGGAGAGCAGGGGGAAGGAGGAGAAGAGCTGGTCTGAGGTTGGGAGCTGGCTCTGCCCTGTACTCGACCTCCATGGAATGGAGCCTGTGAGAACAGCATCTTATGTTTCCTGGGCTGTGGCATGGATTGAATGAGGTCCAGACATGAAGGCCTCTGTAACCTGCTCATGCTGTGCCAGGTTTTATGCCAGTAATGATGCAGACCCAGGGGAGGGGTTGGAAAAATGATGTCTACTACCAAGTGTAGCAGGTGAGGGCCCAGAAGTGTGGGAGCAATGAGCAACTGAGGAGGCAGAGAAGGTGAAGGAAGATCCGGCTGCTGTGGTGTTCCTGGGGACAGATGGGCAGGGTTTTCCTAAACTGTGGATGGGCCAGTGCAGAACCTTTCCACAGAGAGCCTGGGAGGGGCGCACCCCAACAGGTACCTGGTCTCCTTTGACTTATTCAGCAGGCAGGCCAGGGCCTTTCAGGGAAAACCCAGTAGTGCCAGCAGCTGCCTCACTGTTGCCAGGGCAAGCAGACCCTGCGCCTGGCCCATGGCATGCACTGTCTGTGCCTCACGAGTACCCTGGGAGGTGTGGGTGGGGAGCCAGGACCTTGGGGAGGTTTGTCCCTTGCCCAGGATGTGCACTGTCTGAGCAGGCCCAGAGCCTTGTGCTCCATCACACCACACTGCTTCCCACTGTGAGCACTGTGCAGATGCTGTAGGGTCCCGTCTCCTGAGTCCTTACTTCATCCTTCCCTCGTAGGGCCTCTGTGTCTTGGGCTGGGATACTGTCGGGGAAGCCAGGGACTGGCACCCCTCTGTCAGGGGTGCTCCATGTTAAGATAAATGCCCAAAGGAGGGATGACAGAAACTCCCCCTTGGAAGCTTTATTAGTCCATTTCTGTTGCTTATGACAAAATACTTGGAGCTGGGTACTTTGTAAGAAAACGAAATTTATTGCTTACAGTTTGGGAAGCTGGGAAGGCCACAGTCCAGGGAACACTTATGGTGAGGGCCTTCTTTGATGGTGGATTTACAGCAACATAGTCCATTTCTGTTGCTTATGACAAAATACTTGGAGCTGGGTACTTTGTAAGAAAACGAAACTTATTGCTTACAGTTTGGGAAGCTGGGAAGGCCACAGTCCAGGGAACACTTATGGTGAGGGCCTTCTTTGATGGTGGATTTACAGCAACGTAGAGGTCTCACATGGTAGAAAATGACAGAGCAGAGCAGAGACTAACATGTGCTATACTTTTAAAGCTCACAGAACCATGCCCTGACCACCATTAAACCATCAACTTAATCACCTCTTCAAGGTCCCACCTTTCAATTACCATAATAGGATTTCCCATCCTTTTACCACTGTCACAGTGGGGACTAAGCCTCCAACGCATTAAACTTTGGGGGGCCACAATTCAACCCAGTGCAGAAACCAATTAGAAGAAGATAAATGTCAGCCTTGTCACCCTGAAAAGACAGATTTTGTTGTTTGAGGAACAAAAGATTTTTTGTTGTTTGTTGTCCATGTGGCCAGAGTACAGTAAAGAAACTGCTCATGGACGCATTTAGGCATGTGAATGAGATGGTAGGTATGATTATGTGGGCCCTGCAAGGCCTGGCCTGTGCTCAGCTGCACCAGGCTGTGTGTGGCATTTCATTTCTATTAGGTGCCTGGTGACTGAGATCTGAACCATAGAGGCCAGCGCTGCTTTTCATGGCTGCTCTAACCTCCACTGCTTGCCCAGTGGTCAGAAGTAAGCCCTCCCTCACCTCACTGACCCATGGGGCTCACGTAGAGGGCTTCCATTTTGTGTCACTAGTTCATGTAAGAAATAATAACTACTGATATTTTGAGGACCATTTTTGCCCAAAAATGCAAACTGTGCCAAGTATTTTGCATGCAAGATCTCAAGTACTCCTCATACCAAATAGGCAGTCAGAGGTTAAGAGATTTGTCTAAGGTCCTACCAACTGGTAAGTGACAGGGATTCAACTCTGGTCTATCCAACCCCCAAAACCACACTATTAAGCCTCCCTGTGCATTCTACTTAGCTTTTGTCAATTGGTTCTCCATATTTTGGTGAGTAATTTTTGGGATACATAATCCCAAAAAGCACAAGCCTATTGAGCAGATTGCTAGGATCTAATAAACATGCAGACAAGTCTGACATTTAAAACTATGCCGTATCCTGTGACTGTATTTTAGAAGTTGAACAAATGCACCCCTCATTTTGGGCAACAGGTTGGAAGCCACAGTGAAAGAGCAGAGTTGCTGTTACTGGTATTTTCTACTTCTTGATAGAGCACTGCCTTGAAAGTCTACAATTTTAACTTATATCCTGTGCTCTGAACCATTTTTGGTATATTCCAGGCATACCACATTAATGTAGAATGCACCGAAGTGTATATATAGTTTGGAAACTTAAAAAATTTTATTTCTTAGTCATTAAACCCATATGCAGTTTGGTGTGCCTGTGTGTGTGTATGTACACATTTGTATATGTGTGTGTGGCAGGCATTGGGTTATTCCATTTCTAAATGAGCAAAGCCACCAAAGAATCCCTTCAAAAATGCTGCTTGGATCCATTATAATCTTCAACTATGTTTTACACATTTTCCAGCATTCTGTGGACCACTGGAATTCTCTAATTTTTAGCCTACTCTAATTTTTTGCACATTCCCTGGCGCTAGTCCTTCCAGGATTAATCACAGAGAACATAAGCGTCTACCTATACAAAAATCAAATGCCCAGGTAAGGCAGAGCCTGATGTCATTTCTGTTAGGTGCCTGTTGACTAAGGTCTGAGCCATAGAGGCCAGCACTTGTTCTCATGGCTGCTGTCATCTCCACTGCTTACCCAGTGGTCAGAAGGTTCTTCTGAATTTGGGAGCCTAGCATGTTACCTGCCATCAACAGCTTTGTTGGCTATGCTCCCCTCTTCAGCCCCAGTTCCGGCAAAGGAGAACCTGAGATCTTAAGAGTGACATGTCATCTCCTTGATTTCAGCATTCTTGGGAATAGAAGAAGGAAAACCCTTAAAAATTTAGACCTTTCTTTGAGCTTTAGGCCTGGGTGTCCAGGAAAAGAATGTTCATGTCTGAGGAGAAGCATTCCAGACCAGCCCCAGTGTTTGATTACTTCTCCACGAGAAAGCACAAGCTATAAACAAAGCCTTCATTGCATCCAGAGGACACAGCCATGCTCCTGTAAATTCCAGAGCAGCTTCTCCAAGCCCCAGCAAGGCCTACAGCTGGAACATGCTTGTGGCCTCCACATTGTGGGAGGCAGAACAAGTCTTGGAATTGTCCTCAGAAGACTTCCATTGATTTGAGACCCCCAGGTAAGGGAGGCAGCCCACATCCTTCACAAGCTTCCAGAAGTTCTTCCTAAACTTCAGGCCAACAAAGGCATAGAGCACAGGGTTTAGGCAGGCCCGCAGGTAGGCAATAGCTTCTGTCGCTATGATGGCATAATTAAAGCTGGTCATGGCATCGTACTCCCAGCTTGTGCTGCGGATGAGCTTCACGAGGTTAAAGGGTGTCTGGGTCAACAGGAACACAGCCACCACCAGGAAGATGATCTTTAGAGATTTGTGCTTCTGGAAGCCTCGAGCATGAAGCAGGGTCTTGATTATGACTGAGTAGCAGACAATCATGGCAAACAGTGGCAGGAAGAACCCCAGTGTCATCTGGGTAGCTAGAACCACAGTAGAAATCTCCTCATTGTGGTAATTACAGATTAGCCTGTCAAAATAAAGGACATTGCCATAGATGATCTGTGGCAAGGAAACCAGCAAGGAGATCATCCAGATGACGAAGCAGATGACCTTGCCCCAGGCCATCCGCTTGGCCTGCTGGTTGTAGGCCTTGGTGGCCTGAACCACTGCAATGAAACGATCCACAGTGATGCAGGTGAGGATGAGCATAGATGTGTAGAAGTTCATAGTATAGATGCCCAGTAGGATCTTGCACATGACCCTGCCAAAGACCCACTCATGGATGCCTGCATAGGCCCAGAAGGGCAGAGTGCAGACAAACACCAGGTCAGCCAGGGGCAGGTTCATCAGGAACACATCTGTCAGGCTCTTCAGCTTCTGGTAGAAGATGTATATGACCAGCACCAGGGAGTTCCCTACCAGGCCACAGATGAATACCACCATGTATATGCAAGGCAGAAAGAACTTGCTGAACTGCAGGAAGCGTTTATGCTCCTGGCTGCTGTCATTGGAAATGTTGAAGAATCCAGGGTCTTCGTAGTCATGCTCTTCCATGGTATCTGTTCTGATAAACACCTATGAGTCAAAACCCAGGAATTATATTTGGGCCTGAGGGTGATGGCACTCCCTGTCTTCCTACTGTTCCATTGACTACATTTAGGGGGCAAATAGTCATCTTCCAAACCCACCCAGTGATGCTCAGTAACAGCACAGCCCAGTATAACGAAGATAGCCAATTCTGAAGGAAAATTTTCAGGCAAGACATGGGACTCTTCATTAGTCCTAACACTTTCAGGATCTTACCCCTTTGGGAGACAACTCATGACTGACCCCTACATGCATTCCATAAGATCCTGTGCTCAGTTGTTTTGAAAGCAGAAACCACCATGTCATCAAATGGGCACAGTGCCCTTTTGGAGGAGCAGCACCTCTCTTTCATGGGGAGGACCTGTCTCATCGCAGCTGCCCACCCATTGTCCACCCCATTTTCTGTTAAATTGTGAAAGCTAAAGCACTACCCCTTTCAGGGGGCTTTACTGTCAGGAGACTCCTGGAGACCACAGGTGTTTGGGGGATGACAAGGACTTCTCTGCCAGGGTGGATAGTCCTTTCTGCTTTTTCTTCCCCTCATTTGCATAGATTTAAAAAGGTGACTGGGCCGGTCCGGTGGCGCACTGGAGAGTGCGCCACTTGGGAGCGCGGCGGCGCTCCCGCCAAGGGTTCGGATCCCA